AATGAGTGCAGAATTTGAGCCCTTCGGTTCAGATACAGAAATTTGTATTCCAAACATATATGCAAACATTCATACGGACTTCCTGCTTTATAATATAAAGGAGATTAGGAAAAAATAGAAATTCCAATAATAAGAATTCAGTTTTCCATAACTTCAATATTATGATTTTTTGAACAAATCTTATGTATTACATACTAAATCAACTTGTTCAATGTGCTCGAATTCATTCAAACATTCGTCCGTCGTATGTCGGAATTTTCGAATGGTTCGAAACTCGTAAATTCAAAATATTTAAGTAATCAAGCAATTTCAATTATTCTGAAAATCAGGAATTTCGAGTAATCGAATTTGCAAGTGATTCGCTATGTATCTGGCAAGTTTTCAAAACAAAGGAAAACACTGGATGAAAAAATTACTTTGCATTGACATTGCCCACACTTCCACATATCCCATAATGGAATCAACTAAGGTCGTCTATTCATGCATCACTCCTTGCTTGGTTAAAAAAGAAGGCTCCTGTTATCCTTTAGATCAGGCTAACCCGGCTTTTCATCCAGACCGTTTTGGTAAAACTAGCATACTGACAGCTATACTTCATCTCGTCGATGAACATTTGTTTATACATCACCGTCGTTACTCTTCTTTCAATAGAAAACCATTAATTCCGCTACTTGTGGAAAAAAAGGAGAGCTGCCCATCGGTTCTAAAACTTGCTATAAATCGCCTTGTGGTGGAGATTCGTTAGATTAAGCAACAAATATAATCAAAGTACTAGTAAAAAAAAAGAGTTGATACTTGGCTGTAGTAACGGATGAGTGATATATGCGGAACGCTCTGGATTTTAAGAGAGATCACCTAAATACTTATTTACTTAGATACTTAGATGGCCTGTCTTTATTCGCGCAGGCCACAGCACTGTTTCCATCCTTTCTGTCTCTCGCTAGCGTCATCCACGATATTCGTATTAAACTGCGGCGGCGACGTTCACGAAGTCCAGATCCATTACTCGTTACCAGCTGAGAATTCAGCTGGTCCATCCGTGCAACGAAGACGTCAGCCCATCTGATCGGCGGCCTCCCTCGAGAACGTTTTGCTTCGCGAGGAATTCATTGCAGAGTTCTTAGTGTCC